CATTTAATCGTCAACTATTGACCCTGAAAAGCAAGAGGTGGACATGTAACAAGACATAGTCGCTTCACACGCCTTCTGACACAAGAGCCGCTGGCGATGGCTTCATTACTGAAAGCTGCACATATTAAAGCCACATTGTGGCTGCTCATATCAGGAGCCATGCTTTTACTTATAACATTAAAAAAAGCATGTGAAATTTTTGAATTCGGACCTTAGCAACCTCGAGTTCAAAAGGGCAGGGTGTTTTAGGGGCTTTTACCTTAACAGCAATTACAAACGCAAATGGATAAAGTATATTTAAGGAAAATTATCAACGCCTACCCATTGTTTGCGTGTTCTGTGGACGTGACGCACAGAAAATTAGATCGCGATGTCCAGAAGTAGACGTGACACACATTCTGACAGCACGCGCGCAGTTATTTTAGTGTAAATTACTTTAATTACGTCCCACACAACTCTTCAAATGAGCTATCAGCAGCATTCCTGGAACGGCTGACATTCGCCAACTTAGGACGCACACACAATCGCCGTTTATTTAGGAGAATAATTCTAGGTATGCGATTGCGACCTTGGTGGCCCCGAGAGCAAGGTTCACATGTTTCGGCGCACCGGCGTGGCTGTTGCCGGTGACAGACGCTTCCAAATCCGACTTTGGCGCATGGCGCAATTTCCATTGATATTATCAGGATGGTGCAGTAAATCTGATTTGGTGCACTTTGGCACAGTTGGCGCAGGAGTAGGATCACTGCTTTTGTGTGACAGTGAGACACATACGTCCCACTTTTCTGTCTGAATAAAAAAGTTTCTGCCACATCAGCCATTGAAATCAGCACGTTAAGTCATTCATATCTTGCCCAAGTATTCCTAACCTCGAGAAAAATTGTTTTACTACACTTTTGAAGGGTGCATGTGGTAACACAAGGGCGTTGAATTTCGGTCAATCCTTCATGATAGCTTCTGAATTTTCCCATATTTTACATTAACCTTGACTTCTTGATCACTAAAACACTGCTGTACATATGGAATTTTCAGACATTCCCCATCACTGACCTTCACTGTGACATAACATCTTTATGAGTTTATAATCCATTTAAAACAATATAATTTGCTTATTATTTATGTGGATGAATCGATAATTGTTTAGCCTAATTGCTTTTGCAAATTTGAGTAAAATTAGCAACCACTCAAAAAAAATTTCAATTCTTTTGATACGGTGAGAAAATGGCCATTTTTCGTAGGTATCAGAAAAAAATATTTTGCCAGTATAAAAAATATTTCAGTATTCATTGCAGCAAATCATGTCTTTTGCAAAAAAATATGTTGAAGAGCAAGAAGGATGTTATGGAACAAATAAAAATCCCAATGTATGTAAAATTTTATTGCCAGTTGATAAACACAGCAATAAAAAACTCTGCCTGTGCAAAAGCATTCAAAACAAAGAAAATTCAGAGAATAATTTTAAAGATAAATGACCTATAAATAAAGTGGAACCCCTTTATAAGAGACACTGATATAAGTGACAAATGGGGATAAGAGACACCAGTGTGCCTAAAGCAAAATACAGGTTGATAGGAAAATGCGCACATGGTACCCTGGTTATAAGAGACATCTCGTATAAGAGACAAGAATTGCTGCCCAGAGCATGCCTCTTATAAAGGGTTTGAACTGTAGCATAAAAAATAATGAGTGCTCTACACAACGCTGCTATTACCATTCATTAAGAAAACCTAAAATGAAGTACTGCTTTATTGCTCATGCTATGCAGTGAAGTATTTCATGGCTTTTGGTAAGACACAGGTGCACTCATCCACTTTTCGCACAAAATATTTGCTTTTCATGAAAAAAGCCAGCTAATGTTCTATTAGAGATCGATGTTTAGGATGTGAACAATGTCTATATAAACCAAAAGTCCAATGAACTTCGCCAGTAGGTCTGGCATTTCAAATATGCAACCAAGCATATTTATTTGTATTCTTGCAAATTGTATTGGTCACCACCAGAGTGACAAAAAAAAGAGAAGGAAATCACACGTGGTCTATAAAACGTCTCATGATGTTTCATAGGGACCCAAATAGGGACCCAAAGTTCAAGTTTGCGGAGCGACGACACCACTGCGCAGCGGCTCTGGCGGCAAGCTCAGGGGAATTGGGGAGCAGAGTGCGCAGGCGCTTCAATGAGTTTACTGCAGCCGGAATACGTGCGGCACGCGTTTTTGAGTTGGTGCGGGGAACTTCAGCAGCATGCCGTCAGCTTGGCGTGCCAGAACAAGACGCTCGCTGGTTGACGTTGCTTTTCCGCGATGGAAGAAGCGGCCACACGGAATCGTCAGCGAGGTCCGAAGTATTGTTCTGTGCCACGAGAATGAAGACAGCACCAAGTCACACGATCTACCTGTAAAACTATTGGTTGCCGAACAAGTCTTACGGGAGAGAAAGAAAACGAGCATGGATCCTCGCGGTTAAAGGAATAGAGTTCTAGCTCTGTCTCGCCTTCCGTATTGATTGTGTGAATTAACTTGAAATCATTTGTTTCGACTAGTGCCTGAATCAGTACGTAACACGGCACGTCCATGCAACAGCGGCAGTAATAATAGCTCACCGTCTCCTCGCATTGTGAAAGTCCAGTTACAGTCATATGTTGAAGCAACTTTGGGTTTTCATTCCTTGTGTTTGTGAGATGTAGCTGTCATTGTTGAATGTTCACATTCGCATAAGTCATACCACGGTTAGCGTTGCGTTGTTGATTGCTTTTAACTGAACTACACACATTGTCAAAGGTTCACCTCCTGCAATTCACGCATCGTGAAGGTTGCATCATCGCGCCAGAACGAACGTCTGTGCATTTTCAGCAAACTGACATCGCATTCCTGGTTTGTTCTATTTTTGTCGCTTCATTAGGGTGGTATTTATTTCAGCTGCTGAACTGAACTGGCACTTATACATTCGGAGATGTGCGGTTTTCTTTCTCGCCCACCACAAAAGAGAGCATTTTATGTAATGTGCTACGCTCTGTAGAGTGCTTTTACTGTATGTTTCCGTGCACGCTAATTGCGTAATCTCATCCCGCACCTCATATCACATCGTTCTTGAAATTCGGCACCTATCACGCTAAGCCGCGTTTGCACAGCAGGCCTTATACAGTCAATATTTTCATAAAATCGGAGTGCAAGCTCGACGCAAAAATTGGGGGAGGGGGGAAACGAAGGTAAAGTTCCACTCACTCCGCAATGGTTAAAACTATGCTAGCTGCCTTGCAGGTAAGTCAAAGGGTGATGCTCCAGTGATACAAAGCACACGACTCTAGCCTGATCAGGCTTTTTAGTGCTATGGCCGTGTCATCTTTCTTTATTTTTCACACACTGCGAAAGTTTGTTCACGACAGTACACGTCTGCTACTGCCAGCGTGCACATCGAAACAGCGATCATGTTTTTCATTGCCGACAACGTATAACATCGATAGCATGCGTGGCTTCATTTCACACTGCATATAGACCATTAGGTATATTTAACGTATCAGAGGAGGAAGCTTACCTCCACTTATCATACACGGTAATGTTGCAGACTTCGGAAATACATTTCGCGTTAAGTCCGGCGTCATCGCCATCTGCTCCACAACGTAAATATGATTAACAAACTTTTCTGATTTCATTACCTTTGCTTCTCGAAGTGGCCATACAGCTAGCTGGAAGATTTTTTTAAGAGGTAGGCAGCGCTTCAAATGCAGCGCGAGAGCCCTGCACGTGCACGGTAAACGAGAGGTATCGCGGCAGAAAAAAGAGAAAACGTGTGACCTACATCCCAAATTTTCATTCTTCTGCCAGAGATGGAGCTGCATGTCGAGAGTCGTAGCGCTACAAAGTGTTGTTTTGGGTCCCTATGGTGGAAGGCTGAGATGAGCTCAGGGCAGTCTTCTTGGCTTGAAGAGAAACTTGACAGCCGGTGCCAACACATCGCGCCCGGGCGACGTGTGTACTTTGGACGTAACCAGAGTAGCTCTAATACTGCGTACAAAGGTCAGCAACGACACACCCGTAGCACAGGGGACCACCTGAGGCCGCAAACGAAAGCGACCCCTGAACAGCCACGAAGGTCCAAAGTAGATGCAAAACATTGTTGCCTTTAACACTTGAAACTGGGTTCATGTCATTTTCAGACTCCAAGATCGTCTCCTAGTCACTGAATTTAGGTGTGGTTGAAAGATAGCTTCAAGCGGCACACACATGGTGATGCCAAGGGCGTGACTAACAACACCAAATGCAGTCTGCCTGATTAAACAAGCAAAGGGAAACCAAATGTGCTGGAAACTGGCTGAAACGGCCATCTTGACATATTGTAGATGTGGCGGACCTTCGGAAGTAAGCTATAATAGAATAAATCTTCCCTTGCTCTAAACAACAACTCTAAAGTGAATAGGAGGTGTTAACTTCAAGTATTTGTCAGCGTTCAACGCTGTCAGGTTGAGAAGTTCAGACTATAATTTGATATTCAATTTCAAGTGGTCATTTAACTACAAAGCTTTAATGTTACTGAAGCATAACCGCGAGTGACACTCATTTCTCTCAAGTACACATTGCTTCAGACAAAAATCTAAAAAATTGCCGTGTAGCAAAAACGGGCAAATCAAAACTGTTTCTGAAAATTCAGTGGCTGGTTTAACAACTAGGAGGTGCTAGGTGCACGAGACACAAATCCAACATGCTTAAATCGGCAATTCAAAGCATCAATCACCGGTGATCGATTTCACTGGTTTCATCAATCACCAGTTTAACAACTAGGATGTGCTAGGTGCACAAGACACAAATCCAACATGCCCAAATTGGAAATTCAAAGCATCAATCACCGGTGATGGATTTGAATAGGCATGGCAACGAAAGACTTAATAATAAGCTATAAGCAATGTTCCGACTCGACGAAACTGCATATTTCATAATATGCAATCGCAGCTCTTCGCCTGATGCCTAGTGCTTCAGGTGTGGTATGAAACGATGCCTTCAGACATACCTGCCAAATGTAGTGGTGTAGAATTTCTGCCTTGAGAGTCTCTACAATTAATATTTTCAGTAGTCACCAGCTTCATGACCCTTGCAAGATTGCCCTTTTTAGCAGCATCTAGAAGTGCAGCATCACCTGAATAAAAAGAAGACAAAAATAGGTTTGGCCCAAGGCACACAAAATTAAACCTTGGGATAATAAATCAATCTAAAAATTTTTTAATAGTATTTCAAGGCCAATTCACAGATGTGGTACCAAAAGCATCATTTTAAATGCATATCAATCACTTAAATTTACTGATGGTGGTGTATGGCATCCCTTTAAATCAATCTAAAAAAGTTTGTATAGTACTTCAAGGCCAATTCACAGATGTGGTACCAAAAGCATCATTTTAAATGCATATCAATCACTTAAATTTACTGATGGTGGTGTATGGCATTCCTTTAGGTTGTGACAAGTTTGACAATCTGGTCGATGTGTCGATGCTCGGTTGAGGGAGCATGAAAATTTTCTACCCTCGGGCAATGGTGGTAACTTGCTGTTGCATTGCAAGTTGTGTGGTTGTACGCCCCTCTTTGATAAGGAGACAATTTTAGCTAAGACTAAAATACAGCATGAATGAGAAATTATTGAGGCATTTCATATCTGGAAAGTTGGTGCAAACAACTGTGTTAATGCAGCTTCGGTTTCTCTCACCAGAAAGAATGTTTGTTTCTAGCACAGCGTTGAATTGCTTAGATTAGCTGGCTTGGTTTTTTTGTTTGTTTTTGGAGCGTGCGCTGTACGGACTTGGGAGGAAAGCTTTTTCCGAAACGCGAGTTCTTAGTGCCACGTCTCTGCTCTTTGTCTCTGTTTCTGCCCCTCCGTTTTTTCCGCTTTCGACGTTCTGGGGCTTCTTTTGTAGTTAACTAAGTACAGTCAAACCATGTTAGTGCGTACCCACTTTATGCAAACAAACGGTTAAAACATAGTTGCGACAAATTTCCTACGTCTCATAAAAACTAATGCATTTCGGGCCGCTTAAGCCATAATGTTCGGCCTATGCCTACCGGTTAGTGTGTACTAACTGCGTAAAGCGATAACATTTCGCGCAACAAAATTTTACTGCTCTACTGAACTTTGCTGACGCGACAATGTGCCGTGAATGGTTTTCAGTCATGTTGATAAGTGCGGAGATCAGCCGATAAACTGCTTCGACTTCTGCGCGATTGCGGCGATGACATTGCAAGTAACCATCAGGGAAAAAACAAAGGCGAGGTGGCGACCACCGACAAACGCGCCAATATAACTTATCGCCGGCGAAAAGCCTTATCACAGTAAACATCCCGGTCATCTGCTCAGGCACGCATGTGGCGTACCGTCACTTCAGGCCTACAAAACGTGTGCCGCAAAAAAAAAACACACAGAAACCCCCGGCCTGCCTCGTTGAGTTGCATGCAGTTACAGGAGAGCACTCAACGTGAAGTTTTTGGAGATACTCATTGATGGGCACCCACTTTCCTTCAAAGTTGGCTCCGGCGCCGAAGCTTTGGTTGTACCCAGTACGTTTTCAGGTGTCCCCTCGAAGCTTCAATATCCCAAGAGAGTTGAAAGGCCCGAGCAAAAACATCCTACCGGTCATAGGCACTTATGTCGCTACTCTGTCTTGACACGGCAAGTCAACCAAGCAGCTTCTTTACGTCCTAGCAACCAAGACAGTCTTGCTGCTAGGCTTCCCAACAATCCAAGCCCTCTGTGTCTGAACGTTTCTCAATGAAGTTGCGAGGACTTCATAGCCCAGGGGTGACTTGTATCTCAATCCTAATCTCTTTCGAGGATTTGGGACGTTCCCTGACGCCTACACTATCATACTGCAAACGCCTTTTCCTTCGAGCGTACCCTGGCGACATCCAACTCCCTCTCCAAGACTTCGTCAAGACAGCTAGACAAGCTGGAACCGGAAAGCATGATTCGCTGGGTGGACACACCAAGTGATGAGCTGTATTGATTGTCGTCCCCAAGGCCTTAGACGGTTATCGCCTGCGCGCAGACTTGACTCACCTTAATAAGGTGATTGTTCACGAGCGCCACATGCTTCCTACAATGAAACAATGCCTCATTCTGCTTGGAGAGACAACAATTTTTTTTAAGTTAAGACGCTACGTCAAGCTTCCACCATAGCCAAGCTGTCCCCCAAGTCCCAAAAATTGACTACGTTCATTACCTCATTTGGACGCTATTGTTTTCTCCGGCTACCGTTTTGGTTTACAAAAAGATTTGTTTTTGGGCAAGTTGGTGCATACTTGGAGCAGACGACTGACATGCAAAATCATTTCGTGAAACAGGAGGAGTAGATCTTTCTTCTCTTCTGCTCCTCCTGTTTCACGAAATGTTTTTTGCGCCTCACTCATCTGCACCAAGTTTGGGATTACGTCTGCACAGGAGAACATCCAGCAGCCGATGTCTCGGATCCTGAAAGGCCAAGTGTGTGTGGTGAACATGATCCACGACATTCTCGTCTTTCGGAAGACACGCTCCGAACATGACAGTCGTCTCAGACAATTCATGGACTGGCTCGAAAAGACAAAAGTCTCGCTCAACCGCACAATCTGTTCGTTTTCCACTTCTAGAGCTAAGTTCCTGGGCGTCGTGATCAGCGCGAAAGGCATTTCTCCTTACCCAGACAAGGTTGCGGCGATCCAAACCATGAATAAACCTGAAGATGTCGCAAGAGTTCGTCATTTCCTAGGCCTTGTAAACCACATCGGACGCTTCTTGCCACCTGTTTCGGAGGTGACAGCGCCAACTAAGGCACTGCTGCTCAAGAAGTCTGCCTGGACTAAGGGCCCGGCGCAGCAGTCTGCCTTTTCCCAACTAAAGAAGCTACTGTGCTCAGGCCTATGCGTGGTTCGGTACAACATCAAATACAAGACCACAATCTCTGCTGACGTCAGCTCCTACAGTCTCGGGGCAGTACTTCTCCACGAACATCAAGCATCACGAACATCAAGCAGTTGCTTTTGCATCGTGCTCCCTCACGCCCACAGAATGTCGGTACAGTCAAACTAAAGAAGAAGCTTTGGCAGCTGGCAGGGCGGTACAAAGATTCGAGGAATACGTCAGCGGACTTGACCTTTTTGGCGAGATAAACCACCAACCGTTAGTGGTACTCTAGGGTTCCATGGAAGTTGATATACTGCCACCTCGGATCTAGCGATTTCACTTGAAGCTCATGTGCTTCCAGTACCAAGTACTCTACATACAAGAGAAGCTGTTAACAACTGCAAATACACTTTTGCGCACACCACTGGATTCTTATTCATCCAACCGGGTGAATCAAGTCGAGCTCTTTGCCCAAGAAGTTGTTCGCTCCTTCCCAGACATCATCTCTTCATAGCTCCAGCACCTGCTACAGGCCCAAGCCAACGATGACGAGTGCAGTCTCCTGTATCAGTACTGCGCCAACAGCTGGCCACAGCCTCTCCATGTGAAGAATTACTGGCAGTATCAAGGAGACTTCAGCAGCTGTGAGGGACTGCTTCTGAAGTGTTCCAGCATCGTCGTGCCGTCCGCCTTTCAGCGCCAGATGCTAGAGCCCCTCCATGACTGGCATCAAGGCTTCAAGATGGAAAGCTTTATCTCAGGAGTCTGATAGCCGGGCATGAACAACCAGATAGAAACGCTGGTGTCGAACTGCTCCAGGTGCACCAAAGTCAGGGCGCAGTGCTTGGAGCCTATGTTGTCGTCCACCACTCCTACTCTGCCATAAGAAGAAGTCGGCATTGATCTTTTCACCTCAATGGCCAAGACTATGTCCTTCTGGTGGATTACCCGTCGCACTTCCCGAAAGACATCAGCCTGCGTTCAACCAAAGCACATGCAGTCATCAACACTATCACGATTGTTTTCGTACGACATAGAATTCCTAGGCTGGTGCACAGCGACAACGGTCCTCAGTTTGTTGCAAAAGGATTCTCCGCTTTTTCAGAGTCCTATGGCTTCCACCACGTCACCAGCAGCCCCCATTTTTGCGATCGAATGGGGAGGTGAAGCAGATGGTAAGGACAGTCAAGGACCTGCGGCAGAAAGGGGATGATCGCTGCCTGGCATTTCTCACATACCGGGACACCCCGGGTGTAAATGGAGCGAGTCCTGCTGAGTTGCTCATGGGTAGACACCTACAGACCTAAAAACACAATTCAGCAAGCGAATTATGAATGTAATAAATTGCACACTAGCAGGGTGCATGTGCTGAAAGTAAGTAATGTATGTAATATTGTCACAAGGTCGCGACGTGGACAAAGGTAGCAGACTGGATGTTCAGATGAAAACTGTTTATTGGGCCGAACTTGTTGCCGGTAAATGGAAAGTCAGATTACAGTAACACAGCAGTACTGATAGCGGTGAACAGGGCGTTGACTGTCGATCAATTGAAAAGAGGTCAAGCGCGTCGGCATCTATACACATGCCGTCGAATATTCTAGCATTATCGCTAGAGGCCACGTAAGTTCCAAAATAGTTTGTAATGTTTGCAAAGTCGGCAAAATCTTAACAAAAACGATATACAGGGCGTCGACTGTCAATCAATTGAAAAGAGGTCAAGCGCGTCGGCATCTATACACATGCCGTCGAATATTCTAGCATTATCGCTAGAGGCCACGTAGGTTACAAAATAGTTTGTAATGTTTGCGAAGTTGGCAAAATCTTAACAAAAACGATATACTACAGCCCTGAAGCTTCTTGAACACTGCTTGCACTGAGAATCACTGACTGTGCAGAAGGGCGGTAACACAACTTTGGAAGGAATATTATTTTATCACTGTTTTTCATAGTACTCTTTGATTTGTATGTATTTGAATATATGTTAAGGGGAGATGCGGGTCGAAAAACGCGAGTTTTTTTCAAAATTACCGATTTTTCATTTTCGCCTGTTTTGATAAGATTAGTACCTCTACTGTTATGAGAAAAATAATACAGGTTGAGACTTAACTGGAAATGCTTTAAATTTTCATCTAAAGAGCACAAGGTGCCTGTTAAAAGGCCGAAAGTTTGCAGTCTTCGAGCACCTTGCCACCGATAATGCGCCGCCGCCCGTCATTGTTGATCACATGAGTGTAAGAGTAGAGCCTCACTCTTCAAATACCAACCGTTTCTCT